TCTTGAAAGCACATACTAGCACCTTCAAAGGGGTCACCAATGGAAGCCCCTACACTACCTAGGGATCTCTGTTGGACACCCCTTTGAAGGAAACAGGGACACGCAACTCTTTGTGCATGCAATAACATTGCATGATATTGCATGCAATGTGTTTGAGTTCAACCTCATCAGGACAGAAAGGCACGGCGCATCCGCAGGCTCACCTTGTGAGTCTTGATGTCCTTGTTCTGGATGCAGCTATGCCTCGGGATTGTGCAGGCACCGACAGTGGCCAAAGCCCGAATGTATCGCGTCCTTGCAGAAGTGCTGCAAATGAACACCAGTGGGACTCGCCAATCCACCTCTGCCCCTTGCAGGGAACTGTTTCCAAACACACGTGGCTTTCACATCAAACTCAACTGTTTTTTCTGAGGCATGTGTGGGAGGACGCGTCAAAGATCCCAAGACCAAAAGCCTGATTGCGAAACAACTGGGCAACATGAAGACGGATGAGCTGCCGGAGTTTGACCTGGGTACTGGTGCCTTTAAGGTCAAGAAACCCAAGAAAGAGAAAAGCCCGGCAGAGATGGCAGTGACGGAGTTGAAGAAGCTGGAAAAGAAGACCCTTGTCCTTGATTTGGATTTAGTCCCAGGGCCATGGTTTCCATATCTTCCCATGAATTGTCTCAACATGAAGTTGGACCCCAATCAGTGTTTGAGTCAAAACAGCTGAGGGTAAAGACCATGATCAATGAACTTCCAAAGTGCAAGCAAGAGCTTGAGGAGTTCAATGTGAGGAACTCTGCTGAGCTAGATACTCGCTGGCTATAGTAGACGGCGTTTCATTTTGGTGGAACAGGTTTTGATGGAAGAACACTTGCTATTATTGTTTTTGCGAGCTGTAATTAGGTACAATGCCTCGATGGTCACGATGATGTCTTGGAATCGTGCTACCTCCGAGTTCAACAAGCTCTGGATGTACCGCTATCGGAGGTTAATTGTGAAAAGGTTGACGAACTAATTCACACAGAGAAGGAATGCTTGAAGGATTGCGAAGCTGACATTAAAGACGCCAAAAGGCGCATCAGCACTAGCAAGCCCAAGTCCAGTAAGAAGAGAAAACTTCCGGAACTGGATGAAGATTCAGATTCGGAAAAGAGTGGTTGATCGTTTTGGCCCCACATTGGTCTCAGAGCCAGTTGTTCAACGATCAACAAAACAGTCAAACCAGTTTTGGTCAAACACCCCTTGTGAAGGATATGTTTTGTTCGTGTGCGGCAACGGTCTTCCAGGGATCCCGACTATCGTTTGAGGATCTCCTTTGCACCAATTCCTGGCAGAAGTGGCATGGTGTTGCTTGATCAACAGTGGCCACCAACTGTCACGACAGCTTGCAAAAAGAAAGGGAAAACACGGAACACCTGCATGTGTTTCTTGACATGTGCTACATGCACGGGGTACATGAAAGCATGCGTGTGCAACTGCATGAGGTGCATCGATGTGTGGTATGAGGAAGCTGTTTCTTTTAGTTCATGTTTCAATTATCCTTCCACTTCCAAGATATCACATGCAAAAAAAATGTGAAGCATGTTGTTACACAAGCTAAAAATAAGCTTGTCATACATCATCAACACTCTACCAAACTCCAGTGTACTACACCTTTAGACCGCAATGTTATTTTTCGCTATGTTGTTGTGCCCCTTCCCATGGACTTGGTTGAGGAGTTCCTTGAACTTACAAGAGATGTGACTTGGTCCAAAGCACCATGTGAACACATACACATACTATGCAGTTCAAAGGGGTGTCCAATCAGTTTCAAAACAACTATCTTGCTAAGGGGTGCTTTGACACATGACACATGTGCTTTGACACAAGTGTGGCATGCAGGTACATGTGAGGACATTGGTGAAACTTTTCAAAGCTCTACGGAAAAGGGTACCAGGCCGCTTTTTACCGTAGCTTGGAATCACACATGGTACAGTGGTGTGTTCATGCTGTGCTGCGAGTTCTTCTCCCTTCATTACACTGCGAGCTGAGGAGAAATTTGAGGAATCTTGTTGACACAACAACAGATGATGAGACCAATTATCCACGGAGGTTTTGGACATGGCTCAAACGGCAGCCGTGGCGCAGAATGCTACCTGAACCTTTTGAGCAACTTAGCATACGTTGTGCATTCAGCTGCTTTGGTTTGCACTTGTGCTTTCCCTTTTTTGCCTCAGGGTAGAAACAGTTCTCATTGATCACAGCCTGCTTCGACAGCATTATATTGGCAAGTGGCATCTTTTCCTACCAGCAGACATGTGCCTCACTTGGCAGCTGGGTTTGTTTCAACTTTGGATCAAATTTAATTTGAACACTTCTCTGCACATCTCAGATTTCACTCCATCTTTCACTATGACTTTGAGCTGTTCAAGGAGAAGTTCATCGGACCGCCAGGTGTCACTAGGCCCCATTTGGCTTTGCAAAAAACAACTTGTTGTTACTGGCCATCTGTTGGTTTTCTTGTGCTTCAGGCTTTGCAGGAATATTGGAATTGCGCACGGCACCAACAATGGTTCCAGCAGCATCCGGTACTATCTTCCCCAGTGCCATTGCTGACTGGAGTATCTTTTGAGCATGTTTTGAAAGCCACTTCTGCGATGTTGTTGAAATGGAAGGCTCATTGATTCTCAGCCAAGGAGTGTGATCTGGATCACTGTATACCTGTCTGCATTCACGGGGATGATGCAGAGTCGCATCGCAGAAGATCTTTTCTTGTGTTGACACTTAGCTCGGTATTGACGCATGGCACGATCTATCAGAACAAGTTCCTCATTTATGTTCTGGACAACAGTGTTGCAAATGTTGACACTGTTGCGACGTTGGACCAGTGGGCAATGTGGTCGCTTTTGGAGTGCCAATTGGGTCATTTCCTAGACACTGACCCATATGGTAGGTTGCACGGACCATATGTTTCAGGAAGAAATGGTCCGATCGCATCTGGGTGGCGCTTGGTGCTGGTCGCCCACAAGGGCGACGAGAAATACCACCAGCGTATGTATCGTGCTTCTCATGGCGCAGTTTCTCGGAACATTTGCCTGCTGTGTCAAGCAAGCAGTGAACAAGGTCCACTGCTGTACACAAACCATGGTACAAGTGCAGCGCACCGTCGTACCCTCCTGGACACCCCAGCTTTCATCCAAAGGGTTGCTGGACTTCGTACATGGACAGCCTTGCCAGGATGGAGTGTACAGATGATTTGTCACGATTATCTCCATGTGGTTGACCTCACCATTTGTCCTGAAGTTTCAGCAAGCTGCCTGATTGAATTAATAGAACAAGGCGTCTTTGGACCAGTGGGCTTGCCAGCTGATGAGCGATTGCGGCGTGCCTACTGTATGTTCATCAAAGCTTGTCGGGCCAACAAAGTCAGTGCCTTGTCTGTATTGATCGGTGGGCTGAATGTTGTGTCCTACATGCATGATACTTTCTTGACATCTTTAGATTGCTTGCAGGAAGCAGGGGCATGGTTTGGGCGATGCTATTTTGATGCAGCGACAAATCACTTGTTGTAGGTTTTCTTATGCAAGAATCTTGAGCAGCTGCAACCCAAGGAAACATCTTTACCCTGCTGGGAACAAAACATTCCCGACGCTAGCGCAAAAGCATTTTAATGCTGCTGAGCCTTGATGTCCAAGATGTCAACTTCAGTACTTAATGTTGCACATGTTTTCTTTCCCTACTACACTCCTTGCTGAGAATCTGAGGAGAGTGTGGTATTGGCAACATGGCTGCTGAACATCACAGTGCAGGTTGCGCACAATAACCCTCAATCGGAACATGCCCAGTTCCTTTGTAATGCAAGCAGGCCCACGCTCCTTTGGTGATTGCTGCCTTTCTGTTGACATGTTTATACTACCATTCAGGTTGCGTGCAGCAGTTTTTATCAATCTGATTGCAATGCGACGTGCTATGAAGCATCCTGGAAATGGGCATGTGACCATGTCTGCAGAGAACCTTGAGTCACTGCAAAGGGCTGGATGTCTTTTTCACGCCGCACACAACAGTACCACTGCTTAACGTATCGCTATTGCTGTCCTTTTTGAACAGTGGTGCGGTTTGTTGGCCAGTCTGTTGATCTTGAATCCAAGGCTTGGCACTGGAAGCCATCTCAACTGGCCGCTTATTGTGGAAAGTACGCCCAAAACATCACAAGTGATTTGTTTGCATTGGGGGTCAGTGGTGTCTTTTTTCCTTAACTGTTATTGTAGGGTTGCTTTCACTCGGAACTAAGTTCGGAACTAAGGCTGGATCACATAATCTTTGATTCTGCGGTGACTTGCAACCCACTGCATATGGCTTGCTACCTAGATGAAGATGCAGTATGTGGTTGAGACAGCTTAGTGACTGACATGATGTGAATGTACTGTAAATGTTCGATACAAACTGTCCCAAGAAGCTAAGCTGTCTGTTCAAGCGAGCTGGGAAGACCTTGGCAGCCTGCTCCAAAAGGACTTGGGCGTTCTTGACGTGGAGGCTGCTCTGGCTTGGATGGAGGGTTTTTTATGTATATATCCATGTAGTTTTTAAGGGGTGTCCATTAAGCACCCCTTAGCAAGATAGCTTTTTGAAACTAATTGGACACCCCTTTGAACTGCATGGTATATAGTACTATATATACATATACACATGTGTACACACTCTTATATATATCTATAAGTTATAAGTGTCCTATGAGAAGTACTGAATCCACGGATGAAATACACCATATATAGGAGTAATTATGGGCCCCATACCATACATTTGTCCAACAACATGGTTCTACATGGTCCGACGTGTTGACCTGGTTTTAGAAGGTATAGGAAGAAGCTAATTGAAGCATCCTGAATGTGATTTGTTTTCGAGGTCACCAGGTCGTTCCTGCCCTCTTGGTCTCCACCTTTTGTTGCTCCACGTGTGTGCGTATCATCTTGAGTTGATTGCGACCAGCCCCTGAAGACCCATCTTTGGAGCAAAAAGACCTGAGTTTGGCCACCGAGGAGCAACTTTGACTCAGAAGGCTTATTGCCTCCAGACCCTGCAACTTGGAGTTTCACAACGGGCAGTCAGGAAAAAAGTTGTTCCTATTTGCCTCAATTATGCCGATCTCTTCGCACATTGGGGAGGGAAAAGACCTTCAAAGTTGAAAGCGTCAACAGCACTCCTGATTGTTGGCATTCGACGATTTCCTAGTTGTCATTGGTCAAAGTGAAGGTCATAAACCCCACGCCATCCGACCAAGCATTGCTCCAACCAAGGGTCACGAGAAAGGGGGTCGTATAAGTATTGTGGAGGTACATAAAGCAAGTACAATACCACAATACTAATACTAATACTAAGCAAGTACACGTATTGTATTGCACAATACTAATACTAATACCACATCCCGTACAAGTCACAAGTCGCAAGTCTTCAGGAGCGAACACGAAGTGCCCAGTCAGACTCGGACTGGTCAATATGCCATCCATACAGACAGGGGGTGGTTGAAAAGGGTGTCCATGGGGTGGTCAATATGTCAGTCCCATTAGTCGTGTCTGGGATATAATATATACAAGAGTTTTACATATTTATATACAGAACAGAGATGGAGAGAAGGAGCGCAGAGATCAGGGGAGTGAGAGGGCGGATGGAGATCAAACAGTTGGTGCTCCAAACATCCAGCCCAGGGTCCTTCATTCGCTTGCGTTGTCAGGGGAGTGCCGTCAAGTCAAGGAAGCTGGACCACACCGTGCACTGCAGAAGGTAGATAAAGCAGGTTTCCAAGATATTATAAGGTTTTCTTTTGCCCCTCAGCCACTGTTATGTATTGGGCCAACTTGTGATGGGTTCATAGGGTGTTTGGCATTGGATGGATCACAGCTGTTTTGTTTTGTGTGAAGTCTCACTGGGTCATCCGAATGGCATGAGATGGGATAGCTGGCACAGAATCCGCGTCGGTGAACAGGTCCAAGGGTTGACAAGAAACCTTCGCACCCCAGAACCACAAGAGGTTGAGAGACCTGGAAAATACGAGACCCTGGCCTGGAGGGGTACATGTGGCATTCACTGTGAAATAGGGGGGCTTTCCTCTGGGGGTTCTCCAACCTCATCCGGCAGCGACTCCGAACGTCGGCGACCTCCGCCACACCGGGCCTTCGAAACCGCCGTTCGCGCGCTCCAAACGCGCTCAGGAGACGGTCCAACCGGTCACGCCCACCGAAAGCGGCATTGCCTGGGCACTCGATGTGACGAACCCGCCGCGGTTCGGAAGGTTCGGTCGGAGGTCGTCAACTCTCCGCTGAACCGCTCTCCGCGGGGTCGGAGGTAGTGGACGTCGTTGGCAGTGGACGTTTGAGTGCACGGTTGGCTCCCATGGTGTACATCTGTAAAGGTCTTAAGCAATTGAGATAGTTGGCTGCTCGGTCTTTTTGCATCAGAAATCGGGTCCTCGATCATTGAGTTTTGTTGGATCCCCTACAGAATTATTTGCACTACAGAATTGTGCATTGTGACCTGTCATTTTGTAGTGAAGTTGTGCAGCCCCCTGCTTTTGTAGAGCCAGACAGCAGCCCTATTTTTTGGTAGAAACCCCTTGTTAGAATATTAGAAAATGCAGTGGCCAAGATCACCATGCTAATTTTTACAAATGTTGGAGGTATATACCAGGATCATCCAATGGGTGTCCAATAACCCTACTTACAGGTCTCCATTGGACACCCCTGTGAAGGTCCAGCTATATAGATTGTGTAATTCATGAGGGCTTCAAAGAAACTGGAGGAGGTCAACAGCCAGGGTCAAAGACCCCACTAGGGGTGACCAACAGACCCGCAGCAGATATCAGAGATCCTTTTTTCTTTTCCTCGGGAGCAGAGGGGTCGCATCCGTCATTGCTTGACGGCCAGTTGTAGAGGGTTCCTGCCCAAACTGCTTCTGGGCCAGTCATTGCTTCACGCAACAGAGGGGGGAGGCCTTCCATCCGCGCTGAGAAGTAAGTGACGCACACCTGTCGAGTGTGGTTGACGTACTCAAAAGCTATTACCGACTCAGGTTCTCAGCAGGGTGAAACTTGGTGATCCCAAGTTACCTCTCGAATCTGCCATCGGAGGGGTTTGAAATTGATTGGTTATGTTGCTGGTCAGTGTGAAGTCCAGAAGTCTGCAACTGTCGATGGAATTGGGTCAGAAACTCCACACCCAGCCCATCCAAAAGAACGGCCAAGGCCATTGGCAAGGGTGGACACTTGTGTGGGGGCCTTAGGCGCCCGAATTGCCAAGGAGAAGAAAAGAAGGATGGACATCGGATGACATCGGCATGACGTGGGAGCTGACGTTGCTGATGTTTGGGCAGATTGAAGGCGTTGCCCCAAAAGAGAGTTGCGTACTCAACTGCCAGGTCGTGGGCTACCACGTGCCTGGTGGTGCTACTGCTAAGGAAGGATTCCTTGTGGTTCCTGTAGCTCAAAAAAAGCTACGACCCAACATCAAAGTCTTGACCAGAGCACATCAGAGCACTACACTGGCCAAACCACCGTCTTATAGTTTTAGGATGTTTTAGGTGCATCACTTCACTTAGCTCACTTCATGTCTCCGAGTTGGTGTCGGGGATGGTTTTGCGGGTCCCATCCAGCAACGTGAGATGTGACCTACCCCCCGACGTCCCTCCGTTTGGCTCCCACCGGCACAGCGGTCACTGGGGGCACCGGCACCAGGTGAAATCGTCTTGTGGGCGCAGTGGCGCCACGTGGGCTCGGCGCGCGCCATCCACGAGCAGCATCCTTGGTGGGGCGATGCGAGGGCCTAGGTGGAGGGGCCGTCTAGCTGGCTGCCTGGGGTTTGGTGGACTTTGTGGGATGTTGATGGAAGAACTCGAAATGCGTCGATGCCTATACTATCTTCGCTCTTCTTTCCCTCAGTGATCCTCTTGTTTTCCATGTTCCTGTTCGGGAGGCCCAGAGAAACGGCCCTCCCACCCGGCCAACCAAAACGCACCTCCTCTTCCCTTCGCTTCGGACCCGCGCGCGCGGTCATCACAAAACGCGTTGAACCCACGCGCCAGCGTCCGAGGTCCAATATCGTGCAGGTCATCGCCAAGGGCTTTGCGGAGTGCATTCGGAGGGCGCCTGGGACCAGAATCGGATCCAAACCTCTCGGACGTCTCTGAGTATCTTTCTGCGCAGCCGACGACGAGGCGACACCCTGCGACCTCGGTGGTGGTCAGCCAAAACGGCTGCCGTAGTTGGGGCGGGTGGCGCGACCCCACCGAAGTGGCGCGTGGCCGGGGCGAAGGCTCCTGAGGTTCCCACCGGGCTCGTGGCCTGAGGATCCTGCAGTGGACTCGGTCGCAGCGATGTATGCACGGATGTGGCTTGGCGGAGGGGGGCCATTCGCTCGGATGGCTGGCCGATAGCCATCTTCCTTCAGAAGGGACGCAATCGCTCGGATTGCAGGGCTCATGCCCAAAATTCGAGCTGAGAAAGGTGTTCTTCAGAGGGTTGTTAGATGTCGCACAGTAACCTGGAATGGGAGTTAGGAGGTTTGGTAACCTGGTATCGTTATTTAGCAATTGCATAAATCATAAATGTTCCTTAAATAATTCTGAGCGGTTTGTTCAGTGTGTCATCAGATGCCATGAGTCATCATGGACGCCTGGCGGCCCTGGCAGAAATCATGGAGGCTTTGGTTCCTTTGACCTAACAACAGTGGGGACGTAGCAGTCTGCACAACCCATTGATATTCATATGCCTTGTGTGCAACCATGTGCAACCATGTGCACCTGCTGCACAGAAATCGTCAGCCTGTTTCTTTGGACTTTGGGCCCTGTCTAATAAGCCTTACTCGCTTCTTTGTTGTGTTGAGAAGGTCCAAACGGCGCGATAGATCTACACCTGGAATTTGGAGCGGAAACCCACCCACAGCGCCACAGCGGAGAGGTTGGCAACGAAACCACTCATCTAGACATGGGTGGTCTGCTAGTCAGTTTGCAAGACACCGGAACTTTCTTTCACTGACTTTGGTTGCTAGTACCTGTGCATGACTAGTTGCTATTAGTTGCTTATGTTTGCTTATGGTTTGCTTCTAAGATATCTTAGGACCATGAGGATTGCAAGACCTCGGAACCTTGGTCAGTCTTTTTTATCCTGCAAGTGTCTCGCTCCCCTTGAATGCTGGAATATCTTTACCCAGCCGGGCTCTCCACCAAACCATTGTATATAATGATACCACAGTCTTTCACATCTTCCGAACAAAACCAAAACAAACCAAGGCCCTGTTTGTCGGGGAAACCGCGCTTCGGCGCATTGGCCATGCCCTGCCATCCACGGTCGTCCGCTTCCTTTGGGTGGCTCCAGTTCCGCTCAACGCCATGGCTCCGACGTGGTGACAGGTCCCGTTCCAGGGAGCGTTGTCACCTGAGGTTTGTGCAGCTGGCCAATGATCGGGAGCGAATTCCAGAGGATTGGCAGGCGCGGGAAGAATCGAATCGGTCTTCGAAGCTGGGACGGAGTTGGGGGTTGGCGCTCGTGAGAATGAAACTGCCTGTTAGTTGGTTGGGTTTGGGGTTTGGTTTGGTTTGGCTTGGTCGGGTGGGGTTGGGTTGAGTTGGGTTGGGTTGCGTTGGCCGGTTGTGGTTGTGGTTGTTGTTGTGGTTGTTGCTGCTCTTGCGCTGTTGCTCTTGTTGTTGTTGTTGCTGCTGTTGCTCTTCTTGTTGCTGCTGCTGCTGCTGTTGTTGTTGTTCTTCTTCCTGTTGTTTCGCATATGCAGAGTTGAGCCTGCTGGACGAACTCAGAAGAGTTGCCCCAACCTGAGCCTTTCGGTGATTGTTGTTTCTTTTAAAGAACATGGACCAGGTGCAAAACTTGTTACTGAGCAAGGAGCTATGAAGATCAGGGAGTATATTAAGCCTCAACCACATAGTGTGCCATCCGGTACTGAGCGACTGAGCGGAGCGCTTCTACATCGAAAGGAGTCCATCCACATCCGTTCTTGCTCTTGGCATCCAATCCCATCTAACCTATAGGCTATACGGATATATAATGCTATAATATTGCCATAATATGTACAGGAAGTAGAGGGACAGTAGAGGATAAGAGACAAAGGAAAGAGGAGCAGGTGGAAGGAAAATGCATGTTTTGCAGCAGTTGAGGTTTTTGACGTTGATTCTGACTCATATGCCGTATGCCATGTTCCGTCCCGGGATTTGATGTGCCATCTTATAGTCAATCCCTATATGTTATTTAAGGCGGGGGTGATGCTCAAGTATTGCACGATCAACCCTAATTGAATAATTAATTACACAAGATCGCTTCGCCAAGCCCCAGTTCCATTTGGAGATTTACCATGATCTACCGATGGTGAGTGCAACTGGGCACCCCACTGGGCACCCGTGCTGCTCCATGAGCAGGAGATTTGCAATGACGAGATGACTGCACTGACCGCAGGGCACTCAGGGGGTTTACAATGCTAGCTGAGAAGAGTACAGTATATATATATATGTTTATAAGTATATAGTAGAAAATATGGCTGTCTAGACAAACGCCCCGATAAAATAACAATTGCAGGTTGACCTTGTTGACATTTTGCTGTAGATTGGCGTAGTCAGTCTTTACAGTATGTACAGTCTATTGTGGTTCTTCTTCACGGCCCCTGGGTGTTTGACGCATCACCCGACAGGAATCAGCATGGGAGTTTACTTCATGGAAGAATCGGTGGGAATGAGTCGACTCTGTAGGTTGCTAGACTTTGGAACCCACAAAACGCATCAGTCTCTTTGTGCCAGTATCTCTTGCTCAGCTACATTTGCTGGTTGGTGTTCATGGCTTCTCAGACTATCGTACCAGTAATGCTATCAGTGTTCAAGAAGTTTTATGCCGAAGAAAACTAGTTCATTACACTTTATATATTTTAGTGCTCCTGAGTGCACATCAAATTTTCATGGGAGGGAAGGCACGTGAGAACCTCCAGCCTGCCTGGCGTGTTTCTGAGGATTCCTTGAGTTGCTCGGACGCAGAAGCTTTGCGATGCGGCAGTGCAAAACCCAAGTCATGACCGGAACATTCACGCACTGTATTCCTTCTATTTCACAATATGATTATCATAGGCCTGAAAGGGAAAGGATCGTGTGCACCATGCCTGGAATCCTAGACTTATAGTGACTTACACCTGGACCCCCAAGGGGTGGTTAATGGACACCCCTTTTTCATCCCCTTGACCTCTTTTTTAGGGGCTATGAATGGACACCCTTTCCGTGATGCTGGTATAAATCTTGGAAATGTGTCTTCGGCTTTGCTTTGGCTCTTTCCCTTTACGCTTGGGTCGACCGCCTCGCTTAGCCCGTCTTGGTAGGCCGGTTTGCTCGCGCGCGGCCAAAATCAATCGGTGCTGGCACCAAAAGTGACATGAAGAGGATTTGGGACTCTTTGATTCGATTTCAACCCCCATATGAAGAGGATGTTGTTCCAATTCAACCTTTGGGGATTCTTTGGTGGACTACAGGACGGTACACCCTTCCTTTCGTTCCTTTTCTCGTGCTCATCATCCAACCACGACCCTCGCATCGTCGCATCGTCTAGACCCGAGAGGTGCGGAGCCCGGTACCGCCGAGGCGAGTACAGCCCAGACTCTGAGACCCCGAAGAACCTCATGTCTCGTCGCTTGGGGCGGAAGATGGTTTAGGCGGTTGTCGGGCGATGGATTTGCTGGGTTTCGGAAGAGGCGGGCCGCCCAACCTTGGGAAAAGGGTGAGGTTATTCGATAATTAGTGGTTCTGAAGGTAAAGAGACCTTTTGAGCCATCCTATGCCCTGTTCTGCATACGACCTATACCTCATACTATTTTCGAGGAACTGGTCCCAGGAGGTTCCGAGAGGTGTCCTTCTTCGTTTTGTTGAGTTTCCTTTGGGGTGTTGTTGGGAGCCTCATGAGGAACAGCTGGTGAAAACTGTGCCTATGGCAGTGCCCTGGGTCCTGCCTAGGTTCGTCGAGTGGAGCGGTGGTGATCACCTGGTCTTGGAGCCCCAAGTGGTACCCTCTTTCGCCGAGGCATCATGGCCTTGACAAAGCCGAAGGCCCGTAGCTTCTAAAAGCCGCTTGGGCAAGAGGGCCGATATGGGAATATGATGCGTTGATTTGGTGCGAAAGATCGCTCGAAGACGATGAGTTTGTTGGCTTCAAGATGTTAAGGTGCCACTGTCGTGAAAAGGACGCGCTTGATGTTTTTTTCGGCGACGCGTTCAGCTGCAGAAGTTCCGTCGCACCTTTGGTTCCTTCAATCACTCGTCAAGCCTTCAGACGGCATCATCAGCATCTGCATCATCTCAGACGTTCCAATCCACGATCGGTCCTGGGGGCGTGGATCGGTCCAAACGGCGAAGCACGGTTAATCCGTTGCGGCGGGACGCGGAGGCGACCACATAGGACCCCCAACTTGGCCCGGCAGGTAGACCACCCAGAATGAGGAGTGTATTTTTCACTGATTCCCCTAGAAGTCCAGTCGGGCCAAGTGAACTACCTGGTCCGAACGACCTCACGGAGTGGTTTTGCATGATCCAACACAGTCAAATGAGGTCCTTGACCTGTGGGGGCTCTACATCTAAACAATACCCTTCCAGGATCAGACACCCTAGCGTGTGTATGGGGATTATATATATCCCGAGGAGAATAGATTAGTCCAATTTCGATCTATGAATTTGTGATCTATGACCACCGACACACCATCATGGCGTTTGGTTGCCTCCCACCCAAAACGAACACTTCGTGTTTCGGTTGCCCTAGACCCAAAAGCAACGTGACTGGGAGTGCCGTCTTACCAACCTGAAGTTCGGAACTCCTGGTAGAGGTAACCGTTGATCAAGCAAACTATCATTTAACATCATTTAACTGGGCTGGCTAGACTGGCCTTGCTTGGAATTGTGGATATATTTGGACGTGACAGGTGTTGCCTGTTTGAAGGTATGCCCAGGATGTGGGAGGGCCCATCATAGGCCCCACCTGACAGAGGAAATTCGTGCAGGGGCCATTTGTCGTTTGGTGGAGGGCAAGGTAGAGTCGCCAAGATCGCTACGGTCTGGGTTTTCTTAGCATCGTTCTTGCGTCGACAATGTTGGAGGGTGTGGCAATTGAAACTGGAGACCTTGATGAAAAAACTGCTGAGGAGCGAATTCTGTTGATCCGCTGGCCCCAAGAATGGCTTTCGAGATAGCCTCGATGGCCTCTTGCCTCAAAAAAAACTTTCAATGCCAACATCCAGACCCGCAAGACCTACAAGATCACCTGTTTCCACACCTTGCGCTACATTTGTACCACCACACGGTTCTGTTTTTGGGATCCCAGGGTCCCGCATTCTCGGTTGGGATGTTGGCACTTGTGCTTGGAACCGAACTGCTTCGGCCCAGGTCGTAGTAGATGCGACGTGGATCGCCCACGTGGATGGCCTGGATGGGCTCACGAATGGATGAAGATGGCGAGAATGGATGTCCCCCAGAGATCCCCAAAGAATTCCACCCAAAGGATCCACCTACACAAATATGCTTTATCCCAGACACGACCCATGGGACTGCCATTCCAATGCCTATAATTACATTGGAGTGGTTTTGGGGGGTCAATGGGGCGGCATATATGGCAGTCCCATGGAGTGTTTGGGTATATAATATTAAATGACCAAATGTATATACCATTATATAATATTATTATATAATGGTATATACATTTGGTCATTATGGGTGGTGAATGTAGGCCATGTTGGCGCCACCATGGACCATGAACGTTTGGGGTTGGCTCCTGTGGCTTCGAGGAATTAGTTCCGTGATTTTGCTTGAAATGTCGGTGAATGTGTGTGGGCCGCACAGAAAGGTCAATCCTCTAGTTCCCGCTCTTTTCCGAAATGGCCTCCATGGGAGGTATCACAAGAAAATGCTGAACATGCCCAGCAAAATCCAGAATGTTTGAGCAATGACCTTGGCAGGTAGGACACGACAACAACATAAAAAGTTCTATAATGTTCTATAGATTGTGGATTCATATATAGATTCTAGATGAGTCTATGGCCTCAGGGAAAACAAGATCCACACGTCTCTAATGATGCTGCTGAAAACAAGATGTGTGGTGCTGGGCAGCCAGCGGCTTCAAATTCCTGGATCTGGCAGGCACGGAGATCCCACGAATTTTTGGTTGCCTGAACATTTGGGACAGGCGAAATTGCTGACCATCAGCATGGACATCAATGTGTTCAGATGGCTTTATCGAGACCAAGCCTGGCCCAAGTGGATTTGATGTGTTTCACCATTCGAGGTGTTTTCCCGATTTTTGTTTCTCCCGCGCAGTTTGCGGCTTGACAGTTTTTTGCCGAAACTTCTACTCGCTGCTCGCCTAGCTGGCAGAATCGCAACAGCCATGTGAAAAACATTGTCCAGGAGTGCCGAAAGGGTGGTGTTTCCAAAGGAATTGGACACCTTACGACCCCCCTCCCCTCCAGCGCCCCTCGTTTCTGAATGCTTAGACTCGCATCCTACCCTCCAAGTTGCACGCTCGCCAGCTTAGGCAGGCGCCTCAAGGCAGGTGCCACCAGTCGGGGCGACCAGCTGCCAAGGCCACCGGTCTCCACCGTCCCCGCCCGCCCGGCCGCCGTCTCGGTGCGTTCCAGACGCGCCGCTCGACGACGGTCAAGGCCGTTGGCTTAGATGCACGCTCCCTGCGGGCGAGCCCTGCAGAAAAAAGGGGATGGGACGGAGAGGTGCAGTGGAGATGGGATGAGAATCAAGTACATATGTGAAGATACCATAAGACACCGTGTTTTTTGGTGGAGGGAGGAATGGAGAAGAGTTGTCAGAGTTGTTCTTCTTTTTGAAAGGCTCCGCCGTTGATAGTTTGGAGGCAGTTCCGGAGTGAGGCCTTTGATGGGTCAAGGAGTTGTGTTCATCTACAGGCGTGCTCCATCACATCCTCAAGCCTTGCCACGCGGGAGGCATATCACTACTATCGCAGACGCCCCATGTATGGCATATGTACAAGCATTGGGGTGCTCCAGTCTCACGCTCAGCAACTCCATCATGTTCATGTTTTGCTGACCCGGTGTTTGAGTTGACTTGGCAGTTCCTCCACTTTGACCCCGGTTCCGGAAGCGCCGAGGTGTTTGTTTTCTCGAATGGTAGTTGGTTCTGCGCCCGGTCGTTCCGCTTCCCCGCACCCCACGGCCTTCCACCCACGACACCTGGCACCTCAAGACCCTTCAGATCCTTCCCGCCGTTCGGGGCGGGCGGAGCGGAGCGCACGAGTGCGGAGTCCGGCCAGAGCGCCGGCCCACCTCGGCCCAGCCTCCGGCCTCGGCGCCAGGAGAGCTCGAAACCCTCACCTGCACAAGGTACCTGCTTCTGCCGGTGGGGGCGAGCGGGGGCGGAGCTCCCGCCCTTGCTGGCAGAGGTGAATGGTAGCACGCGACGGTGGTTCAGAGGTCCCAAGATGTATCAGGATCTTTGAATAGTTTGCAAATAGTAGTTTTGGGTTCATGGAGCCAGCCAGCCTCCAGGAATGCATTTTCTTTCCGGGGATGGAACTTCATTCAGGCCTCAAAGGTGGTGGATTTGGATCACAGTTGCTCGAAGCACGGCGGAGGAGGAGGAGGAGGATGAGGAGGGAGAGAAGGAGGGAGGAGGAGGAGATCCTGGCACATATTCACATCAGTGTTGGTTCCTTGTTTTTTTCCACTTGAGTGGTCCCACATGGCTGCTATATGCTGCTATTGCAGTTCATTGGAAATACTGAAATTCTTGTTTGCCACAGAGAGATCTCAACCTTTGCCATTCAGGTGATGCAGGAGGTGGAGAAGCGCTTGTGGGGCCCTCAGTGGCCCTCAGTGACCCTCAATGATTTAAACGAGCGACCTGAAAGGTGGAGGGTTGTGACTGAGGCTCTGAATGCGTGAGATCATGTTGGTATAGGCTTCTTGAATTCAAGGCGGCCAAGTAGATGTAGCACAGAGGCGCTTAGCGGCGGCTTAGCGGCCAAAGATCTACTATGAAGGGGACACCGGGAATCCCCAGTGGATGAATCCAGACAGACATACCCAGACACTCCATGTATGCTATATATGACTACATTGGGGTGGTTTTGGGCGGTCAATGTAGGCATATAGGGCAGTCCCATGCAGTGTCTGGGATAGGGGCTGCGCAACTCTTATATCGGTTCGGTTTGGTCGATTGTCCTTCTTCCATGGGGCCTTGGGCAACACCGGGAACGGCCGAGTTCGGCCGGTTTGAGGCCGGAGTTCACCTGCGTGGATTTGGCGCTGACCGCGTGGTCGATAGCGACCATGAAATGGGAGCCGCCAGGAGGGGAGGGAAACGATCAGAAAGGTCAGAGACTATGTCATGACGACACCATCCCGTCCGGTCTGAATCGCGCGCGGCCTCCAACACCGCCAGCTGCTGCCTCCAAATACGGGCGGACGTGTGCATGATGGTTTTCTTGTCCCAGACACTCCATGTATGCCATATATGCTTACATTGGGGTGGTTTGGGGGGTCAAGTCGGCATATATGGCAGTCCCATGGAGTGTTTGGGTGGTTCGGTAGTTCCAAACGTTCGGAATGTTCGATTCCATTGACTTCGTGGACGTGAAGCTTGAAGCTAATTGCCGTCAAAGGGATGGCCGCTCAAGCGGCTAGCGGCTATAGCTTGCTACACACCCATCTAAAGCTCTGAGAAACTGTTTCATGCATGTAGAAGTGACCCGGAACAGGCAAAAAAACACCAAGAAACAGTGTTCCTTCAAGTTCATTAAAGACCATATGTACGATATATAGTCGCGCTTCCTCCTCATGATAGAACATGTGTTCATCACTCTCGGCCATTTTGTAGTTCGGTCTTTGATGGTGTTCGAGCTCCTGGAGCTTTTTCGGCTTCTTCTGTTTGCCTTCAAGAAAACCACCATGCCGCCGTCCCTTTGGACGGTTGGACGGTTCCTTTGCCGCCTCCCACCCCAGAACTCGAGTGGGGAGGCCTCTACGACCGCATCAGCAAGCTTTCCCTGGCTTGTATTGCAGCTTGGAGCCCGCTGCACTTGGCGATCGGTTTCGCGGACGTGAAGGGAGAAAGATCGCAGCAACGAGAGGGTTTGGAATGCGCTTGATATACAGAGCCTCCCTGGAACCTGGAATTGAAGCTTCAGTGAGTTTCGGGAGGTCCATGTAGAAGCTCTTGGAATTGAGGAGTGGTGTGTTTTTTCTGAGACAACCGATGGACCATTGACTTGGTCGATCCTTGGGCTCGAAGGGCTTCAGTTGTATACATTCATGATACTTTGCAACTTGGTTGCTGCAGACTGTGACTGGGGGTGGTTGTTTTCGTGATTGTCCGCCGTGCTCAACACCTGTTCCTTTGAAACCGATCGTTCTCCGATCGGCGCGACGCGTTGGTGCGACTCAGGCCGAATTCCAGCCACAAGCCCGGCACTCAGCTCACCACCCGCCGCCCTTGGACCCAAGCCTAGCAGAGAGCACCGACCTTTGGACCCGGAGTCCAGTTGGAGGGCCTTGGAGCAGCTACGTACCCAGTCTATGCTGTCAGTTGCTTGAGGTAGGTGGAAGAAGTGGAAGGAGTGGATCATGGCTTTTGTAATCTTTTGTACATCCACTCGGGCACGACCGGGTTGATTGGATTGCTCAAATCTGCTCGGCCGAACCCGCCGAGGCCTTAGCAAACATCATGTGGGCCACAGCCACCTTGAAGAAAGAGAACGCGGCTTGGCCGTGGGCCTGGCCGTCGTTCACGTGTTCTTGGGGGAGTGACCTTTCGGACCTACCTACCACGGGCTTCCACACATCGTTGCAATAAGGAGGCCTTTCTTTGGGGGGTACCGCGGTCTGATGCGGTCTGGGGTGTGTTTGGCACTGGAGCGTCGAGGTGTAGTACGCTTGCCCAGCTGATTCAGGCGGAGTCCCGGCCCCGGGACTCCGAAAGGGACCTTGAAAGGGACTGGAGGACAGGCCGTTGGGTGTTTTCATCCAAACTTCCATTCAACATGCATCAAAATGTCCAATGGAGTCCAATGATCATACACTCGGCCTGAAATACTCATGCCCATACTCGCTAGGAAGGTATGAGATACTTTTGTGTTTGCCGGACCCAGTATATTGTATGTTAACCACATAGCATATAATCTCTAATGGTTTTGCCAAAAAATGGAAAAGCAAAAAAAAAAGCAACTACAAAAAGCAAAAGCAACACATACATTGGCTTTTGCTTTTTCATTTGCTTTTTATTATTGTCATTTCCAAGATTCTCAGAGTTAGCCGCCGAGGATGCACTGATCCGTCACGCGGCCTTCACCGCGGCGAAGCTCTTGGATGCCGGTCAGGACTTTCGACCTCATGAGTACTCCACCATGGTGTGCCTCGGTGAGAAAGATGATGAAATCGATGGATCCGGAACCATGGGGAGAGCGAGGGTGTGATAAGGCGAGCGAGGGTGCATGTATTTGGTGGTGTGTGTGTGTGTGTGTTTGGGACATAGATGGTGGAGTGAACAAGGTACGAGAGACACCAGGTTCCAACAACAACACCACCCTTTGGAGGGGAGACATTTTGACCAGCTGGTGCACAATGGCCGTTGGGAGCGCTGCGGCTTGGACCGTCCACGCAACTGCCCAGCAGAGGTGGTCGATGGTCATCACGCAAGCTCGCGAGGAGTGCCTTTTCAGCAGAGTTTCAGGCGAGGTAACTGAACACATACTGAAAGAAGTCAATTGATCAATTGAGCGAGGTGACGAAGTTCTCCCTTTGGAAGGTCGCCAGCAGCTCCTGTAGGATGACGGGCCAAAACAGCTACTCCTCCGCACACATACGTAGAAGCAGAGAGGCAAACAAATTGGATATATGTTAGCAGAGCCTCAACCAAAGAAACACCACTAACTTAGAAAGCACCGCAGCTTAACTTCAGCAGCATCTGCAGTGCCATGTTAGTGGTAAAATGATTGTTTTCTAGAGCTGTGTATCTGTATGTGTCAATTTGTTTGGTTCCATGTTAGCTGTCGTTGGCCTGGATGTCGGGTTCAAAGCTGCATGAAGGATGTACAGTAGCCCCGAGCCAAATGACTTACTGTACAGTATTTTAGCACTACAGTCATATATCAAGATGAAGGATATCAAACTGATAGGCAACACTAACATGGCAGGTACACACCAGGAGGCAACACATGCTGGCCGGCTTCCATGTTAGCGGTGAAAACTGTGCATTTCCATGGGTGTCATTCCACTTCCATGTTAGTCTTCGTTTCTACTTTTCTTAACATATCAGCCAGATATAATTATATAGGTTTGCAGTTGCCATGTCGGCCATGTATTGAATCCCTTTTGAGTACCCTAGGTGTACCCACCGGATGCCCGTTTAGCCATCGAGCCGCCAGAGCGGTGCTCCGCCAGGCCATGTGCTTCGACGGGTCTCGGAGTTTGGGCCACAGGAGAGGTGCGAAGTCGAAGTCGGCAGGTCACCGCCTGTCAGGCGGGCGTGTTGAGCCAGTGGGGAGGTAGGTGTCCCGTAGGGCCCCCCCCCCACTCAACAAGATCCGAAAAGTGCGGTGAAGCAGTTATCACCTGGCTTTGTCCGGTAGATCTCCGGTGAAAAGGGGTCAGACTACCCCCTTTGAGCTGGCAGAGCCATGGGGAGACCATGGAGAGGCCGAGATTCCAACAAATTTGCATCATAGAAGGAACCGTAGGCTAAAACATGCTAAAACCAATCCGCAGAACACACTGAACACCAGGTACTTTTGTGTCCATCAAAAAGGCACCACTTTCGGGATCAGGGAGAAATTTGGGGATTAGGAAAACCATCGCAGACTCGTAGACCAGATTCCTTTATAGAAACCACCCGAAGGGCACAGTGCCAAAAGGGAAGGCCTGCTTTGGATGTTCCAATTGGGAGACGTCCTGGAATTGGGATGAGACTTCCCAAGTCTGGTGGTTTCCACATCCGTCCACGGGGCGTCCTCCAGGCCGCCAGGCCCAGGCCCGGCTGCTCCGTCACCCTCAGGAGCTCACCAACACTGCCTGGGCCTTCGCCTCTTTGGGCATCCGCACCGAGGCGCGGAGCTTGGCACGTTCAGAAAGGGAGAGATCCCAGGCTTCGGTTTTTCCATGGCTCTTGAAACGTGATGACCATGATTGACCATGACAGATACCATGACAAATACCATGTAAATACAGAGCGCGTCAAAGATCATTCGATGGCCCAGCTGGCACAAGGTGCACGATGCATCCTGGAGGTGATGTAAAGCATGACAACTCTAAGATGATCCACTGCCACCCATTCCCTGCTTCCAACGCAGGGCCTTTTCGAAGCCTTGGGAAAAGAGTGTCATTCCAAGCTCCGGCAATTCAATACGATTCTCGGGCTGCACCAAGCTGCGACCGCGCAAAGACCAGTCATACCCAGACACTCCATGGACTGTACATTGGAGTGCTTTGCGGGGTCAACAGAGATCATAATATACCATACATGGAGTGTTTCGGATAAAATATCATGGGATTGAGTGGGGGCATGGCCTCAACAGACCGAACAGCTGTTTGATTCTTGGTTTTGCAGCTGCTGCCGAAGCTCTTGGCCGTGCCAGAAGATGCCAGAAGATGCAGTCAAGCCATGTGCACTCATGCCACCACCTAATGCATGCCACCGGATCATCCCTGCATGTGAACACCAGACGTTCACCATAGGCATATACTCTCCCCGAAACTAACATGGAAGTGGAAAACCACCTGTTTGTAGTGGAAAGTGGTCTTCCTTTCAGGGCCATTCTCCACTTCCATGTGAGTTCCAGGGAATGTATTGTTTTCTGGAAAGATCACGAGGTGTCATGACATGTGGAGCTGAGGCAGAATTTGACCAATGTCGCTTGGGCATATTCTCATTTGGCGGTGGGCAGTGAAGAGCTGCTGTCGGACGTGGCACGGATCGCCCATGCGCGCATTCACGAGATGCGCTTCAGCTGCATGTGGTTGGACTGGTTTGAGATGGTTTGACATGGGCCTCAGAATCTATCCATTTGAACGTATTTCAGTCAAATGGCATTTGGATGCTTTTGGTCATTGCAGGAGGCTTCAGGGGATGTCTCCCAAAAGCCCGTACCCCACTCACCCCCATCCCAAGACACACCATCCCACCAGCACGTGAGATGTTCACTGCGGACGACGAACAATAGAGAACACTCTGTTTCACGGGCCGAAAGTGAAGTTGGTGAGAAAAAAAGTCAGCCGTTTCATCTCGTTTCATCTCCAAAACGTGGCTTTGATCGGGCAAGAGATTTGGAACGCCCTCGCCAGAAGCTGCCTATTGCCAGATTTCGCCCAAACTCTGAAACCTTGCGAAGCAAGATCCTGCAGAATCTGAAGATATTTGCACATCGAAATGTGAAGCTGTTGAAGCCTTTTGTATGCTGAGCACCTGTCGCATCCTTCGCCTAACACTGGACCTTCTCATTCTCTAAATCGCTGCGAGGAACGTCCAGGACCTGGCCCAGCTGGCCTTGACGCTGGTCTTCACCCGACGATCCGGCCTGGACAGCTCCGACCGTCCCTGTCGGAAATGGGTGGGTGGAGGGAAGAAGGCTTCCTTACCCGAGATGAGGGTCCAACATGGGTGGTGTGGAATATGTGGTCAATTTAGTCCCTCCTTATTTGAGACTTGGTTCTTTCAGTGGATTCGTTTTTTTCGGGGATTCCATGGCCCAACTTCGGCTCACCCGCTCCGCAGGATGAGTCCAGTGCGTCCGCCGAGTCCGTCTCGGGCGTGCTGGGCACGCGTGAGCTGACGGTGGCTTTGGTGGTGGAGGCGCCGAAGGGTTTTTCGGCACAGCAGAGGTCGGACAGCAAGGTTGACATGTTGTCGCCCTCTTGCCGACTGGGATCAGCAAGGCTGACTCATCGTCTTGAACCTCTTTCCCAAGCTCCACGACTTGCAGCCGCATGGCAGGTGACGAAAGCGATGGTCCTGAAGATCCAACGGGGCGGCCTCACGTGCGCCCAGCGGGGGGATGGGGAGAGGTGAAAAACCTCGCAGCTTCAGAGAGTTTGAAGGGGATGGGGGGGGCGCCTGCCTGTTTCAAAGGCACAGCTGGCACAGCTGGGAGGCGTTGTTCAGCATCACCAAGCTTGCATAAGTGCTGACAACAGCTTGATTCACCGACTCACTCGCTGCGCTTCGATGCCGCCCCGGCCCTTGGGATCCACGACGCCTTCGGCCGTGACCGTCGATGGCCCGAAACATGGGTGCAGGACTCCAGATGACGCATGGATCGTGCATGACTTGGTCATGGTTTGGATGGAGGCGCCGGTGGTGCTCACGAGGGAGCTTCTTTGTTCGCTTGTGGTTTGGAGGGAGCTCAGGAGCGGGGCATCCATCTTCCCCTAAGTCACAGTGACTCGTTGTGTCGGTGCTCGTGAACCATGACTCGTTTGGGCCTTCGAAGACTATCGCGTCAGACTTTCTGCGTCGATTGATGGTAGGGTGTGAGATGGATCCCGGTGAGAAAATAGGGCCTGAAGGCCCTGTTGCAGAATGTCCTTACGGAATGTCATTGATATAGACTGTGATGTTCGTCATTTCGCATCATTGATGCAAGGCCTGTCGCTGGGTGAGGTCTTAGAAGTACGATAAGTACACCCATTGGATCCTCCACTCCCGCTTCCACAAAAATACACTATAGCGTTCTTGGAATGTCGCTACTATGAACCTTGCCAGCCTTGATCAGCGCATATCCTTGCATCATGTACATGATATGGCAGCTTGCATCTCCATGGCTGTTCAGTCTCAGAGCCGAAAACGGCCCCAATTCTTCCGTACGAACGCCGACCGCTTTTTGCGGGTCGAGTCGAGCGGCGAAATGCGTCCAGGAAAGCGAGGCCGAGAAGTTGCTGGGCGATGCCTGGAGAGCGCTCGATGCGTCCCTGGGCGGCTGGTTCGGCCCGGAAGCGGTGCGTCCAAACTAGCTCCATCTTGTGTGTCCATCTATTCATATACCATCTACTTTGTTCCATGGTTTAGGGTATTTAGATGTATTTAGATGCATTATAGGGTTATTTATGTTCCCTTGTTCCATCTTGCTTCAACCTAGGGACATGCTCCGCAGCAACCCGCCGGCTTGTCTCCGCAGCGCTCCGCAGCAGCTCAGGTACATGGACCGCCGGGGCCTCGGTGCGCCATGGAGGCCTTCCTTCAGCCCGGTCACGTGCGGAAGTGCTTTTGGACTCGAATGACAGTGAGATGAACAGAGTCTCATTCAGTGGCTCAATGGCAACCAAAAAAACAGATGTGAAGAGACCCCATATATAGAATGGCTTGTGGCTGTGCTCCAAGAGTTCACCTCACATGAACATGCTTGGAGAGGTGAACTCAGCCTGAAGCCTCAGGCTGTTTGCGTTTCAACGCGTTTCATTTCATTTGAGCAACGAGATCTGGGCCTTTGGAGGGGCTCCGAGGTCCGCACGTAGAGCCTAAGCAGCCAGTGGCTAAGGCTTGTACCATCAGGTCATGGACTTCCTGCGGACCACGCCGCTCCTGGCCCGCGTACAGCGCTTAGCGCTCCTGTTGAGTGAAGTACGGTCGGCACGCACGTTTCTACAAACATGAGCAATTTGCATGTTCCTTGAACAACGGATACCAATCCCCAAAAACGATACCTAGCCTTCTGACGGTACACATCTTGGAATCTATCTTTGCCTATTGACACTGTTGACACTTGAGACAGTGTATGTCCAAGGTTTTTTTGTATATGGTTCGCCATGCTAGGTGGACCTTCCATTTTGTTTTTGCTCATTTTCCCTTTTCTTTCTGCGATGGGAAGCAATTATGGGTTTAGACCGATACCAAAAACGATACCAACCGATACGCACTTCATAGGTCTGTATCCCCTCAGAAACCACCTGGCCACTTTCATGCCGCTACTACTGCCACTACTTCTACTTTTGCTACTACTTCTAGCACAACCACCACCACCACCACTACTACTACTACCACTACTACCACTACCACTACTACTACTACTACCACCACTACTACCACTACCACCCCTACTACCACTACCACCACTACTACCACTAGTACTACTATAGTAGTACTACTACTTCTGCTGCTACTGCTTCCTGATTCTAGTGCTTCTGCTACGGCTACTGCTTCACTACTACTACTACTACTTCTACTACTTTTACTACTACTACTCCTACTGCTACTGCTACTGCTACTGCTACTGCTACGGCCACGGCCACGGCCACGGCCACGGCCACGGCCACCACTACTACTACTTCTTCTTCTCCTACTACTTCACGACGACTGCTACTACTACTACTGCTGCTAATACTACTACTGCTACTAGTCATCATTTGCAACATCACCTTCCAGAGCAGTTTACGATACCTCCCAAAAAAATCAAAAACGATACCAATCCCAAAAACGATACCTGCCTTAAAACTTCTCACGCAACGACCCCTAGTTTACTACTACTACTACTACTACCACTACTACCACTACTACTACTACCACCACTAGTACCACTACCACCCCTACTACCACTACCACCACTACTACCACTAGTACTACTAGTAGTACTACTACTTCTGCTGCTACTGCTTCCTGATTCTAGTGCTTCTGCTACGGCTACTGCTACTGCTTCACTACTACTACTACTACTACAACTACTACGACTACTACTACTACTACCACTACCACTACCAATACCACTACTACTACTACTACTACTTTTACTACTACTACTACTACTACTACTACTACTCCTACTGCTACTGCTACTGCCACGGCCACGGCCACGGCCACGGCCACCACTACTACTACTTCTTCTTCTCCTACTACTTCACGACGACTGCTACTACTACTGCTACTACTGCTGCTAATACTACTACTGCTACTAGTCATCATTTGCAACATCACTTTCCAGAGCAATTTACGATACCTCCCAAAAATATCAAAAACGATACCAATCCCACAAACGATACCTGCCTTAAAACTTCTCACGCAACGACCCCTAGTTTTGCGGGTCGCTCAGTTGCGTCTAACTTTTTTTCCCCAAGAACGCCTAACAGGGACTCCTGGGCATCTCCTTGTCCTTCCTCCGCGTCTCGCGTTCGGGGCGATGTGGCACGGGCGATGTCAACAGCGACCCGCCACCAGGCCTTGGCATGTGGCTCCGTGGTGCAATCGGCCCACGTGCCCATCTACGAACAGCGAGGGCCTCCAGCGTAACCGAGCTCCGGACGCTGGGAACCGCGGGAACCCGCGGGAACCCGTGGTGCGCAGACGAAAGAGAGTCCAGAGTTGCCAACAGATGTTTTGGGGTCCTTGTGTATGTTTGGCATGAATTAACATGTCACTAGTCCATTGATTCCTTGCTCTCTTGTGTGTGTGCAGATAGGCCAGAGATGGCCAAATTGTAGGTGAATTCGGTTGCTAGCTGCTAATTACAGAAAATGTGCCACCAGATTGATTGGCTCATGATGGATGTTGCATTTTTCTTCGATTGATGGATCCACTGCTTTCTTCCCAGGTCCTTTCGAGACCTAGACCTCAGGCTGCGGAGCACGAAGATTGGCATGGCAAGAAATCAAATGATCTCAATAGCACTTGATTTGGATGCACTTGGACACTGCCGACCTCACATCATGGAGTGCTGAATCCCTTTTTGGCCACATGTTTGTAGCACTTGAATTGCTGATGTTCGCTGAGACCACCGCCCCCGACCGCCCCCCAGGGGGGTGGTCTCAACCCGTGGCTCGGACGCCAGGTCCTTGGGCATCAAGTACACCGGACTTCTTTTAGAGGAGCTCGGCCTGATGGACAGGCGACCTCCCGCCTCCTCCCACCGTGGGTGAGGTGAGTAAGGAAGAGTCCATCCAAATGACCCTTCAAAATCATCCCAGCATTCGAACTCTAACGCCTACACTCGCTGGTTTCGACTAATCCAAGAGAGTGAGTTCCCCCCAAAATCGTCCGCAGGAACTCATTCCACCGTCGACCCCATGGCGCATGCGCCTGCAAAGCATGCAAACCGCCTGGCCGTCTCGCCTCCGTCGCCCGCTTCAGGTCGATGGATGGACTCACCGAGACGGCGCGAGAACGTTTAGCCGAGGAGCGACAGCAGATGCTGCGCCAGGAGAGGGGCGTGGGGTGCGCGGGTGCGGTGAACCGGGGCGGTGCGGCGCGGCCGCCGGCTGCAGGGGCTGGAGAGCACGGATGCTGAGGTACAAGTGGCCATGCTGAGGAGGAAAAAGAGGTGAAGTAGCGGCCGCCTTGAGGTATAGAGAAGTAGGAACCATGTCTTGAAACATCCTCGGGACTTGTTAGTGTGATTGTATAGAACCCCAAATAGAGAAAAAAGGAGATCCCCACTCCCACTCAAAGAACATGTCGTTGGAAACCGTGTAATTATTGCGTCTCGCCTGCCAGCAGGTTGGCGTACGTTGGCGTAATCACTTGGAGGTAAGAGGCCATGGTGTCGACGTCAGCTTCAGCATGCGAACCTGCTTGGTCGATGCTGCAGGACCCTGGCGCTGGCAGTCAAAACTGGTGCCTCTTCCGTTCGGCTCTCGACCGAGCGAGCGAAAGGGGGAGTGGGTGATCTGATAGGGGAGGATTCGAGGATCTCCCCGATCTTTCAAAAAGGCCACTGAAAATCCCGGGCAGTTCAATTGAGGGGTTGTGGGTAGGTGGGTAGGTGTAGGAATGGTTAGGAACTGCACCGATGAGGGGCAGATTTTGGGCCCCAGCCTGTCACCTGTCCCTTGCAGATCCTTTGGCAGTAGTGACCAGTGAGGGGGGTCATTCTTTCTATGGCTTTAGTCGATCTGGAACCACTGGTGACCAGCAACATAGCTTGTACAGTGGTTTGCCGGGATCCACTGCAAAAGACGCTGGTGGCGTCTTGGGGCTCTGTGGGGCGGTTGGGGTGAACAAGCAATGTTTGGTTCAAGTATGTTCGAGTGGGAAGTATGCATAGCACTGCGTCACCACATGTGTTGAAAGGAAACGAATATCAAACTCTAATTGAACATGGTGCATCATGGTGCCCGACATATGCAACGAGTGTGTAAGTTGCTCATATTTGCTCCATCAACCAGAGTTCTTCCTTTTGTTTTTGGGTTTGGGCATCTACAGTATCTGCTTGCTGCAAAACCCATCCAAAATCGAAGCGAACTGCGGGGCGTAGGCAGTTCACGAGAAAGCTTCAGCCCTTGGCCGTGCTTTCCAAGGCTTTCACTTGCACTCGGAACTTCGGGAAGCCCAGGCGCCCGATGTCGCCCACAGTGTTCAACCCCCTGCGTCGGTGGTGTGATTTTGGGGCGAAGAATCCAAGCAAGAGTCCGTGTTCAAGCGATTTTTATGCATTTGTTTGTGCAGTTCTCCTGTGGGGTCACAGAGCCAGCTGGGATTTGTCATGATTTGTGCAGTTTTCCTGTGGCATTGGAAGACATGTCTTCCCGAAGCATCGACTGTGTCTTCCAGTGCCACATGCGAGCTCGCGACAGCGGCCGACGGAAGCTGGGATCCCGATCCGACGGAGGGGCGAAACAGCATCTGCCACCACCGCGGCAAAGAGATGCAAGCCAGGAGTCACAAAGGGGTGGTGTTTTGTCCCTATGTGAGTGGATAATGGGTCCATTAAGCACCCCTTTGTGACTGCTGGAAGAGGCCATGTCTTTGGGATTTCTTTGGGGTCATCCAAGTGTGATCCAGAAATCTTCCTCATCGGCTTCGGAGAACGATCGCGTCGATGATTGTTAAGGGCCGTTCCATCCCACTTACATACCGGCACCCGACTCTACAGGTCTCCGACATGGTAGCTTTTGGAGACTTAAAAGTGTCAGGTGGTGACATGTAACGTCAGGACTGGATCCATTCCATCCATTTCTTCCAACAAAAAGAGACGATCGCAGTGAATTCCGCCGTTGGAAGCCCCGGGAGTCGCCGGGAGTCGCCCTTCACCGTTGTTCGTGGTTCGTGGTTCGTCCACTCGCTCGACGCGCCGGTGTTCTCGCCGTGGGCCGCGGGTTTGGCGTCGCGACACTGGGAGGAGCTGGAGGGGATCCGTGTGCGAAGCTGTGGTGGGGATCCCTTGGCCTTGGAGCTCTTGGATCCACCCCGCGAGGACGGGGTGTTTTGCGTCGACGCTGTGAAGCGTCTCAGTTACGGTCCGCCAGGGTCAGGGTGAAGCATGGATGAAGGTGTGGATCGATTCAGAATCTTGACCTGCAGGACCCACTGGAGTTGTGTGGTTAAGGGACACCCCGAATCACCTCGTTTCAGGGGCTAAGTGCGAGTTTTCTGAGACATGTGAGACTTTGAATGTGCTGGCAGGTCAGCCATTGGTAGAGAAAGATAGACTTTCCTGCGCGAAGATGCGCGAAGAAGTTTTTGGCCAAAGCAATGTTGAAACCGACTCAGATTGCAATTGCCCTGAGGGAGTGTAACTTGTGGATTTGAATTCGCACTGTAGGACAAAGCACGCAGTACACCACATACAACATCATACAACTACACCACATCAGTGGAAATCAACATGGCTTGTACACTGCGGTGGTTGCACAAATGGTACCACCATGTACCGGCAAATATCGGTCAAATTGGTCAAGCACCTTCAGTACCAAAGAGGGGCCCCTAGTATCAAGGCGTCTGTCAGTCTAGCCTCCCAGCCCCCTCTAACTCCACAGCTCCATGTCTCTAACAACACAGCTCCATGCGCATACACCGCCACCGCGGTGGTCGCGACCAGGCGCACTTGGTGGCGGTGAAGCTGAGCAACGATCGCTTGAACCACCGGCGCCGCGACGCGGAGTTTCGGGCGTCCGGACGCCCAGGACACGCATTGAGAGGTGGCCTGACGTGTGTTGACCTGGGAGTAGGGCCCAAGCGTTGATCCTAGCATTCCAGCTAGAAAGCCAGTGGGGCACTGGCGATCCTTGTTTTTCTTTCTTGAAACACTGGAGAGGGTGGCCTAAGTCCAAGGGGTGCTTCCGCAGGTGCCTTGGCACCTGCATCCATGCAGGTCCGCTCAACTGAACAGCCAAAAACATCCAACAACTGTTCCGTCAACCTGTTGGAGAGAAGGCGTTTTCGAAGGTTTGTTCTCCATCTCAGTTTCTTTCTCCAAATGTGGCTCAGTGACTCAGTCAGTCACTTTGCTTACCTGACATCCCACAACTATCCAACTGGTGAGTCCTAGTCTATATATAGGTTTACCTGACATCGCACAACGACTCAGCTAGTCAATACTACAGACCACACCATTCAATAACATCATAACGTACACAGCCGAAAAAACAGTCTTCTTTACCCCAGACACTCCATGTATGCCATATATGGCTACATTGACCCCCCTGGCACCACCCCAATGTTGGCATATATGGCAGTCCCATTAGTCGTGTTTGGGTACTAGTCTCATCTTCTTCACCTTCGGAACATGCAGGGCATTAGCATCTGCGTTTCGCCCCGAGCGCGCGACTCGGCGCGACTCTGCTACGGGCCGGAGCCATCAGGATCGCGCACCTCGCCGGAGTGCTGCGGAGCCTCATCCCCGACGCTGATCGGCTCATGCAGGCGCAGCGGTGGTTTTGGGCAGTTAAGAGCAGATTCTAGATGCAAAGCGTCCAAAGAAGGGTGATGTGGAAGGTTTTTTGGGATTCTTGTGGGTGTTGAAAGATTGAAATCATGGCCGCTTGGCTCGGTTATGCTCGGGTCAACTTCCGATGTTTCTGGCACTGCGAACCTTCTGGGACCATTTCCGAAGGCATTTTCAGGGCACCGCCAGTCAGCATCTTCAGGGTGAACAGGAACATATACTTCATGGATCTTCGGATATGAACGTCCAGGGTCACCACATCCCTAGCGGCCCGATCGCGTCGTCCCGATCCCTTGGTGCCTTCGAATCCTCGCTGCGAAGAGCACCCCAATCCTCGGTGCGAGCTGTCGCACTCCAGTCACTGGGGCGAGACTCCAGGAACGCGTGGTTTGGGGCAACCGTTTGCACGGATGGATTCACTTGCCCGAGAGCTGAGAGACGCGCTACACGAAGCGGCGACAGCGCAGAGAAAACGTCAAAACAGGGAAACGAGTCTCTTTTCGTTCATGGTTTCTGCCCGGTGCCAGCGAAGCATGGGTGGCAGCGAAGCTGTGAGCTGTGACAGGTGAGTTTCGGATCAGAACTTGATGGATTGGATTGAACCAATGCCGATGCAGCAACTCTTCAACGCATTCTTTGGCAGAGAATTATAGAGATTTATGGAAGATGGATGAAGATGGTGAAGATTGCCTTTTGAAACTCATTTAGATTTGGATGGTTCATTTGTTCAAGGGCACCTTCAAGCCCAATTCGTCGCAAAACACCCTTTGGTGTATCGAAGATCATCGAAACTCTTGCTGGGATGTTTGGTTTCATGATGTGAAGTGCTTCTTGCCTTGAGGTATGTGACCGAAGTGCCTTGCCTCTCCTGTTTGGGAGCCATGGTACAGCATCTCAGACGCAGATTGGAGTCGGGTGGAGGCTCCAAGCTGCGGTTGGACATGGCCATGGCGCCAGGGCCCACTGGAGTTGGGTGGTTTTTCTGGACACCCCGAATCGCCTCGTTTTAGGGGCTATCAATAGAAGCCCCTTGGCCAGGGGGGTCCGGTATAGGCGATATATATTATAATATATTATATATATTATAGGTCTATAGGTGCAATAATTGTGGAGAATTCCAAGGGCGAAAACGAGATGTTCCAATTCTGCGGACTTAACCGCCACCCCCCTACCCGGTGATCTTCCACCGGGACAAAGCAGCAAAGCAGTGGTGGTCTCATGGAATGATTGAAGGGGTATGGTATGAAGAGAAGAAACAATATGAAACGCCCCCAAAGTGAAAGGTCCGTACTGTAGGTGTCCTCAAGCATTCTATTTGCAAAAATGTCAGAACTGCTTGTTTGGAGCTGCCAGCACGACCCCGAAGCACCAGCGCTTTCAGAAAGCTTGATGCTCCAGAGGTGCAGTCCGAATCCCCCCTGAAAACAGGTGTTTCGCTCTCTTCGCTGCAGGTTTGCCAAGCGCTTCCCACGAGTGGAGCTGAGGATAGCCTACCCAGGCAGCAGAGAAAATGGACCATGCTGCCAACCGGGCGTCCATGCCAGGGACGGATGGTGATCACTCTCCAAATCAGAGCTGTCCACTGAGATAACTCCAAGTCTGGCTAACTCACTAGGCATTTTAAGGTGTGAGGCACACAGATCATCGCTTTCACTCTTCACCACATCACACATCGCACATCGCTCCGCTCATTTGGCAGACCTCTTTTGGAAAGACCCCACCCGAAGCTGTTGGCCTCTCAAGGAAAGGGAAGAGCACTAGCAGTCACTAGCGATCCATGGCAACTGTGGCACATGAAGGGTTCCTGCAGAAAAAGAACTGCACAATACTGCTTATTAAGAAAAGGCGAACGCAGTTTGTTCAACTCGAAGTCCCTTCCTTGCTTCCTTCGGAATGCCTGTCTCCTCACACTGCAACATCCCAGAAACGAGTCGAGTCGGTCTGAAACCGGTGCAAAGACGCCGATCGGAGCACGGGATAACAAACGCGGCCGCAGCCGGACACGAGTCAAACGGAACGGCAAGCTTTCAAGAGAGAACAACGAAGTGGAGAGGCAAGGGTTTAGGCACCCAGGCAACAGCCAGGCCTCAAGCTTTCGCAATGTCGAAGCTGCTAATGTTCGTTGTTTTGGCTGGACATGCTGTGGGGCAAGAACACACATCCCATTGGATCGTGAACGGTGGCCACTGTCAGATTCAAGGATCTTGCGTGGTGCCTCCTGTCACTAGACTTTTCAATGACTTGGCCAAATGATTGGTTTAAGATGCACCATGTGTTTTTTCTCCTTTGAAAGCCCTTGAGCCAGCATTTCACGCTTTGCAGATGCGTTTGTGTGCGTGTTATTTGTTCCGTGCCGTATTGTGCCGCGCGAGTCGTGGGCCCAGGCGAATGCTTTTGGTCAAAGATGCTCCTTCACCTCCATCCTGGAGCCCGGCTGGGCAGTGCGAGGCTTCAACACGACGTCTCCACAACTGGTTGAGAATCCTCCGCATTACTATTGGGTGGCCGCTCCTGCGGGCGGAACCACTCCAGAGTGGAAACTGCGACTGGAAACGAAAAGAAGAAGGTGTACTGTATCACCAGGTTTGGAACAGCTCCCTTTGGTTAAGGGATTTCTATGGATTTCTAAACCACTATAGTTGGGCTTTTCACCCGAACAGAAGGACCGGGCTGTGTCCAGCCAAGGAAGTATTGTCTCCTGGAAAGCTGCGCGTTGGCCACGTGCGACGCAGGGCAATTACCTCGAACCGATGCAGCGGAGATCGTCCCGGTGAACAAATCGGACTGCTGCGAAGCGTCCTGCGGGCAGTTTCCATGTCCTTCAGGCTTTACCTTGCGAGCAGATGCCAACACCACGGTCGCACACGGCGAGGGAACATGCCGCATGGGTTTGTTGAAAGTGCTTTTTGGTCTGTGTCATGGTGACTGCTTTTGACACGGCATAGTCTAGTCCCATACGTTGGTTCAAATTGTCTTACATAACAATGGATCACAAGTCTCTGAGGAAACAACCTATGGAAGAATTGTTGAAGGACAGACCTGTCAAACTTGTCTGCGTTCTTCAAACTGCACGAACGGCCGCAAGCTTGTTTGGGGCGGTTCGTGTGGTGAGTAAATAGGGTGGGTTCGACGTCCAAGGTTGCGAGCGCTTGTGCAGCAGTTTTCATTGCCCGGCAGCCTTCGAACCCATTTTCAACGCGCACCTCGTGAAGGGTGACCGTGTCTCGCAGTGTTGCAGGAAGCTGCCCGAGTGTCAGATGAATTCCAACTACAAACCCGTGGACATGGCCGGCACGAAGCCTCGCAAGGTCGATTCAGCTGCCCAATGCTTTGAACTCTGCGAGAGGACCCGGGCCGTCGCGGGGCGGAGAAGATCAGGAACCTCCAAGCGCGCTTAGGACTAGAGAGATCCAAAGAGAAGATATGAGGAAATGAACCCGAATCGCCCAGGGCGATCTCCCTAGTCTAAGATATTCTAAGGTACACCCAGCTCTAAAGTTCCCATCCACCTCCACTTGGCTCTATGAATTTCTTTTGAAGCTATGGCTTGGAAGCTTCCCAATTGAGTCAAGCCCTCAAGTCGAAGGCCCCGGGCCCCTGCCTAGGGGCATGAGGATCAAAGAAAAAAGAACAGGATCCCAAAAAAACATATTATAAATTAAGAGCAAAAAATATCAAAAAGAAATCTTGCCTAGGTCCCTGGGCCTTAGGACCCCCTGGTCCTCGGGTCCTGTGCCCTGGTCCCCTTGTCCTTCGGTCTCCTGGTCTGGTACCCTGGTCCTCAGGTCCGCTGGCCCTCTGCTCCTTTGGTCCGCTGGTCCAGTCATCCTTCGGTGGTCTTATGGTCCTTCAGTCTTGGTAGCTCCCTAGTAGAAAGATAGCTTCCCCAGTGGGGTGCTAGGTCGCTGGTAGTGTATTTCCCAGTAGGGGATCGTGCTGTCTATACTTGATTTGCATTGTGGGGGAGGCGTTGCGCATGCGTGGTGCCTTAAGAAATTATTCCAAGGGTTATGAGGGTTAGTGGAATAATAACATGGAATAGTTATTTTGGGTACGCCGGGGGGGGGGTGGACCGTTGACAAACAAGTGTAGTAATTGTTCAAGAGTAGATGATTAAAATAGATAATTGTGCTCTCGTTCCCCTATCTGTGAGGGATGGTTCCTTTTGGGCACAGCCTTTGAAAACAAAACACTTCAGTGTGCGTCAATCTCGAATCAGAAATTGTTACGCCAACGTTGCCTGCTTTTCTGATCTTCATTTTTTTGATGTAGACTTTCTTGTCTGTCTTTAATGAAAGATTGCTTTTTGACAGGCTCTGTGAATCTGACGCGTTTTGGTTGGTTGAAAATAGTTGAACACGTGTTTCAAATCTTGCCACTCTGAAGTTCAGACATTCTATTGGCGAGACATTGTTTTTTACAAACCCTCTATACATATATGTAAGTTTTAAGACATTAGAAACTCTAGCTGACATCCAGATATATAGTTTTTTTCTTATTCTTGCAAAATCTATTGAATATTATTCCATCGAACGTTGACATACTGGAATAATTTTTGAAAATGATGTGGAAGGGGCCCTGAATAATATCTAAATTATTCTCAGGTATGTGGACATGGGGGTCCCTTCAAGGCACCAACCATCGTTGCGCCCTCTCCCGCACCCCCTCCCGCTTTTTTAGTAGTTCCCATTACCCCTACTATTACCCGTGCCTCAATCACTCCGACCACCCCACTACGAGTCTTACCACAGGTACCACAACTACGATCTTCTTTGTATTGACAATACTTTGCTTGGTTTGCATTGCGGGGGAGGGCGCTGACCCCCTCCCGCTTTTTTAACAGTTCACACTGCCGCCCACTACCCCTACTATTACCAGTGCCTCTAGCACTCCGACCACCCCTCTTGCCGCAGTTGCCACAACTACTATCTTCTTTGCGTTGACTGCCACAAAGTGGATGATAAGGCCCACCTTCGCCTAGCGTGACAGCCAGAAACCTTCGCTTAGTAGGAAGTGCTGTGCCCTACTACTACTACTACTACTACTACTACTACTACTACTGGTACTACTGTCCTTTCCCATTTCTCTTTTCCTTCGCTGTGATATTTTGTATCCTCTTCTTTTTCTTCTTGATCCCTCTTGAATATTTTTTTGGATGCCGTTCTTTTTTTGATTCCTCACCCCTGCCTAGGACTCCGCTTTGCTCGGGTTTTTCATGGTTTAGAGACAGAAGCTGCCACCTTGCGGACGCAAATGCAAGCTTGCAGTTTAGTGCACACAGTGTGAGTGGAAACCGTTCTTGCTATGCGAAGCTGGCGCCGCGTGCGCCTGAGAAAAAAGCTGCGACCAAGGGGCAGCTCTCGCGATCGTATTGCCAGCGCCAGCCCAAGCGCTGCAGTGGCCGAAGCTTCGAAACCGTTGGCCCTCGAGTGTGGAATGACTACAAAAGCAGTGTCACGCGGGGTGTGGAAGTCGTGGATTGGGATGGCGACGGTTTCTTGGACATTGCGCCATGGCTTAAATGGCTTTAGTATGCTCTGAACCACCAGCTGCTCAAAAAAACCCTTTTATCACCTTTTTGGAGCTAAGTCGCCTTTTCTGAGTCATGTCGGTCAACTCAACTGAGGTAACTGTCCCATCACTAATCTCAGAGGAAGATTGGGCAGGGCTTGATGCAAGCCTAGACTTGCACATTCAACTTCACAACGATCCTCTCCCAAAAGGCCACATTACTTTGGACGATTCTATGGATACGGTCGATCGACCGCAGCTCTCGATCTTTGATTGGGATTCGGACGGCAAATTGGATTTGTCGCTTGAATTTTGAGAGTATATGTGCAGAACAGTGTGCAGAACGTCTTTCTACTGTACTTTTCGGTTTCTGAGTGACGACCAAACCTCCGACCCAACGTGCATGGTCAGAAGACCTCTTGGACGCAACAACCGCTCCGCTTGCTCCGCTGAGGCTCCTTGGGATGGGGTCCGGCAGATTGAGGTTCTTCAAGGGTGTTGACCCACCGGCAGGACAGGTCCGAGACTTTCAGCCTGCAGGAGCCACACCCATTCACTTCCATCCGTGGAAACAATAATTCCGCCCCAGCAATGGCCTGGTGGAACGAGGACCGAGCAGCATTTGATACAGGCAAAAGACAATGTTGTCACTTTTAGTCATTGCTACGATGCCTTGAAAAGAAGGCTCTGCGGAAAGTCGTCTCTTTTTCCCAAACACAAGCGAACTCTGTTGGTTGGAAAGGGGCCTACTTTTAGGTTGTACGCTGGGGCTCTCATCGAAAGGTGTTTTAACGCTGTACTGGCAACTCAAAAGGGGCTAATGATGCCTGCTGAAGCAATGAGTTTCTTATTCTGTGGTGGGTCCTGCAAGAGACAAGTACAGGAAGCAACACAGTCATTTCCAGGCTTGCCAGTGCAGTTCGCAATGGAACACCTGTGGGCTTGGACAGATTACGCCAAGATAGCGAGAGCTACTGGGAGAGCTAGTGGGGTTCTTATTTCCAGTATAGGAAGAGGTGCCCTGGTTGCAGGGTTGTTGCTGCCAGATGTTTGTGGTAGTGCGCGCTTTGCTGGTACCGCTTTTCTGCCACTGTCTAGGCTTGGCACAGTTTTTGGTCGGGGCTGTGCAGTTTTGGACCTCGCCTGGATCTCGCCCAGGGCCATCATCCTCCTGCTTTTGCTGTTCGTGTGCTGCTGCTGGTGTTCTGCTGCTTGTGTGCTGCTGCCGCCGCTTCCACGCTGTAATTATTGGACTTTTTGAATGCAAAGCCGAAGCTTTCTTTCAATCGATAAAAAATCTGTAAACGCCTTGTAAACAGGAACTTGATGTGACCCTGATATGACCCGATCGCATCGGGCCACTACTTGCGGATTAGCAGTTTTCGAGTTGGTGGTAGATGGTGGTAGGCCTTCGACTCCACCCTGCGCCGCTCAGAGTTTAGGAGTGATCTGGCTTATCGACTGTGGTCTATTGCTGGCTGCTGCTGCTTGTTGCTGCTTGCTGCTGGTTGCTGCTTGCTGCACTGCTTGCTGCTTGCTGTACTGCTTGCTGCTGTGCTTGCTGCTGTCGCTGGTTCGTGGTTGGTACTGCTGCTGCTACTGCTTGCTGCTTGCTGCTGGGCTAGCTGCTGCTACTGCTGCTGCTCATTGCTGGTTGCTGGTTGCTGCTGCTGCTGCTGGGTTGCTACTGCTGCTGCTGCTGCTGCTGCTGCTGGCTGCTTGCTCCTGCTCAGAATCTTCCAGCCCTCTACCTTTCGTCCACCTCCGTCGCCTCAAGTCGAGTCACCTGATGTGTCTAAAGTTGGTGGCAGAAAATCTACAGCGTTCCATTGGGATTGACACGCAGGAAGCGGATGTAAATCAATGAAACCCACACTCTTTCAGAACTAGCGTTCCATTGGTCTTTGCACTCTTTGGGTCGGCTTTTTTGGTGACAAACCTTGTTTGGGTATCAGCGTTCCATTGGGATTGGCTCCCGGGGGTGACTGGGGGATGACTTTTTGGAACCAGTGTTGCCATGGTGATTTGGCACTGAAACAGTGACCAGGGATGAGTGAGGGATGACTTTATCAGGTTCCTGTAGCATTTACCGTCATATGTCGTGCTGTTTCGACTGTATGCGTTTCCGTTTCAGTGTTTGGTTTGTGATAGATGCCACTATGGCGCAGCACGTCTTCCGACCCGACGAGGGCCCTTTTCGGCTATTTCTGTGCAAACATAGCCAACTCTGGAGGATGAATATCCAGACTTGGTGCTGGCTCATGCTTGTCAAGTCGATATTTTTCTTGGAAGTGCTGATGGCTCCCTACACTTGGCATACTCTCACTACTTTGATGGAGGAGCATGCAGTCTTGTTCCGACTGTTTGGGACTGGGACAGCGATGCAGATGTTGTTGAACAAGTTTTCCTTCATTTTCCTTCTTCCTTCGCCCCTGCCCTCAAGACCTGCCACTTGATGCCTCCATTATCCTCCATTGAAAGCCCCTGAGCGCTTCACAAACCAAAAAAAAACGACACAGCTCAACCCCATCCCAAACACTCGGCGTATGCCATATTTGCCTACATTGACCGCTGAGACCGCCAGAATGTATGTGAATATGCCAGTCCCATGGATTATTGGGGCATGGATTGTGAGGTGATGGTAAGCCTGAGCTGATCGTCGGAGACGAGCAGGCCAGGCGCGAGCCGCTACCCACCGGGCCGAGACGACCCGCCAGAACCCGAAATGGCCCGCTGAGATTCGGTCAGGGCAAGCTCCACTTATGCAAATCAATGATATCCAGGAGACCATCCAGGGAGCGGTTGCAATGTTTCTTGGCTGTGTGTCGAGTTAGGGTTCAATTAGAGCGTTTTTGGTGTGAATTTGTTTGACATCGCATTTGAGGCTCCAAGGAGGAGTTCAAAATTCTGGGCGTGGGAAGTGATGCTTCACCAGCTGCGTGTGATTGGGACAAGGATGGCGTTCCAGATTTGATGGTCTATGGTAGAAGCGAGTTGCTGGTGGAGCCTCACTGGTTTCGACGCAATGAGTCGCTGACTGGCCATACTTGTTTGTGCATGTTTGAACGGGCATTATGGCGGACAATTATTGCATTTGTATGCATTTGTGTAAATTGTGTAAGACCTTGCTAGCAGCCTAACACTGCACTTGCCGATGTCCCCACAGCCACTTGTCAAGGTCAGGTGTGGCTTTGATGAACCCTGCGCATCCATTGGACGGCTTTGACCTGGGGGCAAATGCTGTGCCTACCTTGGTGGATTGGGACCTTGATGGGGATTTGGATCTCATTGTCCCTGGGACATCAATGGTTATAAAATATAGGGTGTACGTTATTGTAAAAATTAATAATGAATTGTCCCCGGAAGATCTAGAATCTAATATAGTCTACATAATTAGTTACTGTACACTGTATATGCTTCCTTGTCGGGCCAAGCCTGTTGACAAGTGTAGTGTTGACTCAAGTTGTCTTTATCAGGTTGGCAGTGACGATGGCAGAGTGTGGTACTTTCCTTGGCACAATGGAAGCTTTCATTCGATGAATGGTTGGGATGGTCCTTTTGTGCAAATAGATGCAAAGCCTGCATGCTTGAAGATGGAGTGAGACCTAACAGCACAAGCAAGGCATTGTTTGGCAAGGGATAAGTCTGAATCAGTCACTGCTCAGTTCCAGAAAAATAAAGCGGTGCCATATAGTTCCATGCATTCTTCAAACTCAGCAGCTAAGCCTTTGACGCTAAGCCTCTCGTCGTCGGCTGATGCTTCAATACTTCACACACTTGTAAGCTTCAGAAGCTCAGCTTAATCGAGCCAGGTTGGGTCCAAGGCCGCGCCTGCAACTGTTGACTGGGATTTGGATGGCTATCCAGATTTGGTGGTCGGCAATGGAAAGGGGAGCTTGGCCTTCTTTCGTGGAGGGCCGGGCAAAATTTATCCTGCAGGTGTGGACCGGCGCTCAGTTGAATGTGCAGTTGCTTTGATTCGTTGGGTAGTTTCTTGCACTGCGTCACACGCTTCCAAGATGTGGAATGCACCTAAAACATTTGTTGCAGCCTATTAAAACCCTGAAATATACACCCTGTATGATCAAAATCCCCCCCAGCCGTAGACCCACAATAGAGCAGGGGCTTACAAATTTAACACGGATCAGGCCTGAAGCCTGTTGAAGAAATTTGCCAAATCGCCAGAATTATGACGGGCGCACTTGCCACACAAACAACCCAGGTGTTCAAAGGGAGCCCACTTGCCTTTCTCATCTTTCTCAAAGGTATTCCAAGGTCAGATACGGCCACGAGACCCTCAGCAAGGGAACTGGGCACTCTATGACTGACCCAGTTCAACGAAGTTGCTCGTTTTTGCACGCGTTCCAACAATCGTTTTTGCACGCGGATCGATTTACTCGTTTTTGCGCGCGGGAGTATCTTCATAATGTTGACCTTGTCCAATCTGGCAACCCTTTCAGCACTTCAGAGTCACACTGCCTGGTTGGCAACTGCAACCCACCCCACCCCACCCCACCCCCCACCCCCAACCCAACCCGCTCATTAGTTTGCGTGGCAGAGGTGTGCTTTGAAAGGCAATCAAACGCGCGTTTGTGTGTGTGTCACCCCCTGTATCTAAGGGTTCCACCTCTAACCTCTGGAACTAAGAATTTTCGAATGCAGGGGGATGAGGATCCCTTGGTGTGCCTCATCTAACAAAGACCGCACCAAGTGGATGTGATATCAGTGCCCGGCCAGCACTGACGTACCTGCCTTTCAATTGTTTAACTCGACGTTTTTCAACAATACTGTTAGACGGACTCAGCACGTCTTTTTCAGTCAAGGTCTAAATTGCAGTAACCGTAGTTAACTGAATGCGCAAACAATTTGTTCAAACACCTACAAGTTTTGCGGACTTTCCACCTTGCCGTTTCTTCACCATTTTCGACCTGAGAACTGAGTTTACCTGAAAACAAGTGTCAGAGTGTGTTTCGCTCAGCCGTCCCACTCGGGTGCTGAGTGTGATCCCCCGCAAGGGGGCGCCGTTTCTTTGGGAAAGCACTAATTGATTCCTCCACTTTGCACTGGAATTTCACAGGATTTCACCGACACAACCACCGAATCAACTGCCACACTGGCCGCCGGGCCTAACAACGGAAATTGACCTTCAACTGCAGTGCATGGATTTCGTGTTTCAGCTTGCATGTTGCATGTTTTTTGAGATGTTTTGACGGCTAAGTATTCACATGTGCATGTGCTGCTAAGTAGTCACAGGCCGGACGAATTAATCGTGCATTTTTTCCCCCTCCCTACCCCTAGGCCTCCGTTGCTACCCCACCCGCTACTCGGGAAACAGAAGGAAATCGCACTCAACACACTTGTGTGTTGGTGCCTTTCCTTCTGTTTCTCCTAGCCTATTGCTAGCTACCCGGGCGGTTTAAGACAAATGTCCCGCTCGCGTTCTACTTTCGTTTAACTAAGTGGGCCTCGTAACTACCCCTATCTTTCTTTCTTGCCCTCTTAGTCTGCTTTTGTTTTGTTTGCTTTGTCTGTTTTTCTAAGGCTTTTTAGGTGGCTATTAGTTTTTCGCAGCGCCAATATTGGCGCTTTCTGTACAAAGTTCCACTTTCAACGTTCTACACACTTGCGCCGGAATCGGCGGTTTGTGTGTGTCACCCCCTGTATCTAAGGGTTCCACCTCTAACCTCTGGAACTAAGAATTTTCTCATCAGGGGGATGAGGATCCCTTGGTGTGCCTCATCTAACAAAGACCGCACCAAGTGGATGTGATATCAGTGCCCGGCCAGCACTGACGTACCTGCCTTTCAATTGTTTAACTCGACGTTTTTCAACAATACTGTTAGACGGACTCAGCACGTCTTTTTCAGTCAAGGTCTAAATTGCAGTAACCGTAGTTAACTGAATGCGCAAACAATTTGTTCAAACACCTACAAGTTTTGCGGACTTTCCACCTTGCCGTTTCTTCACCATTTTCGACCTGAGAACTGAGTTTACCTGAAAACAAGTGTCAGAGTGTGTGAAGTGTAAAGATGTTGACCTTGTCTAATCTGGCAACCCTTTCAACACTTCAGAGACATACTGTCCCGTTGGCAACTGCAACCGCAACCCACCCCACCCCACCCCCCCCCCCCCCCCCCCCCCCCCCAACCCGCTCGTTAGTTTCCGTGTGCAGATGAGTTTGCATGGCAGAAGAGTGCTTTGAAAGGCAATCAATAGTGTGTGTGTGTGTGTAAAGATGAGTCCAATTCGTGTGCGAATCTGTATTAGATTTCGGGGGCGGTCTGTGTGCGAGTATGAAATTGATCTGTGTGCGAATATGAGCGGCCACCCGTCAAAGAGTGGGATATTCGGACTGATCACCCGAAGGAAAGTAAACTGCTTTAGGACTCTTTCGCCTTTCGGTTGTGCACGCGGTCGTTTTCTTCATTTAATCTGGACAGGTTGTAAAGTGCTAGTGCATTCTTGGATTTTTCTGAAGTTGTGTTCATCTGAGCTCTATTCTAAGTGCTTGAGTTGCATGTGCTTGCCGGAAGGAGGTGTCAAACCGCACTGTCATGACCTCCATGTGCAGCACGGCATATTCACATGTCGCATTTCCTGCGTAACGTGAGGAAGAGAACCCATTCTACTTCATTCAGACTGGGTTGCAAGTCGCCCCAGCCTTTGCCGACATGGATGGAGACGATGACTTTGATTTGGTGTTTTCAAGCGGACAGTTTGACAACGCCGGCACCTTCTACTTCGCTAACCACAATGGAGAATTGGTCCCTGAACCATCCCCAATTCAGCATGTGGACCTCTCCCCTTTGGCTGGCTATGTCCAGGTCCCTACGTGTTTGCAATTGGTTGATTTCGACGGGGATGGAGATTTGGATTTGCTGACCGGGAGCAGCTATGACGCGACTGCATGGTTTCTGGAACAATTTGAAGATGGCACCTTCTATCACGCACAGGGGGCGAGCAATCCTTTTGCTGCAGGAATGATAGGTCTTTCACCCTGCCCCGCTTTGGGTGACATCGAATTCGATGGAGTGGGAGACCTCGTGGTGGGCAATGGGCAAGGCATGCTTCTGATGTTTCAGCACCAACCTATGCAACATCTCGGCCTGGGAACCAAAATGGAGGACCTTGGGCAAAAATCGAGCCTCCAACTGTTGTAGTGAGATGGGCCTCCCTTTTTGTAAATGATTGAACATGTTGTTTGTTATGTGTTCCACCAGGATAGTCAACACCACCCTCTTGGTTCTCTCAATCAACACCTTTGGGGCGGTTTTCCTAGAAAACCTACGGCTGTTGATTGGAATGGAGACGGCCTACTGGATTTGATTGTGGTCACCGACACCATCAGCCTCTTTCTCCAAGAAACTGACGGTACATTTCTGCCTGAAAATACCGCACCGTTCAACATGATCCTCAAGAACATCCCCGGACATTATCCAGGCACGCTTCGGAGTGTCGATTGGGACTTCGATGG